AACACACACACACGCGCGCGCGCGCGCGCGCACACACGCAAACACACGTACGGTTGGTACATCGCGCGAGTTTTGAGCGAGTTTTTTAGGTGGAAATTAATGAAAAACAGAGAACATACACTGCGAGATCGCGGCCGGTTAATAGAGATTTCCGGATAACGGATGGCAGGATAAAGGAGGTCGGACTGTACATTAATATAGGCAAAGCGGGGAAAATAGGGCGTGATGCTGCGGGCAAAGTTAATAATATACATCGGATTTTAACAAGCACACGCGTTGTCAGCCTGCCCGGATCCACTTTGAACCGCCGAAGAAAATTCTCTTGGTAGTCAACGGCGACCGACGTCGGAGCGCCTTTTTCATGTATATTAGCATAGCGGGGAAGCTAGGGCATGATGCTGCGAGCACAGTGAATATTATAGATCAGGGCCGTAGTGGCCTTCCAAAAAGTGCCACTGCAGAAATATGTAGCCGATGCAGGGGGTCTGGGGGTACTCCCCCCCAAAAATTTTGAAATGTAGAGCCTGAAAATGGCATTTCCTGCATTTTTAGGCTATGTTGAAAGCAACCAATTCTGATAATTTTAAAAGGTCAATTTGTAAATTTCAAAAAGGAATGTAGCTAAAGCTGATGTTTTGACTAAAGTATCTAAAATATATATTATGAGTATGATAACTATTAAAACATTATTTACAAAATTGTATATACTATCAGTCTATCAGTACATAATTGTGAAAAATAAGCCTATTTTCAATCTGCATTTATACTTTCACTTATGTACATCTGTATGTTTTGAAGTTTAAATTGAATTTGAATAGGCACATTGTCATATTAAATACACATACCAAATCTTAGAGCACTGATATAACACATCTAATTGATCAGTATTAATAGTAATACCAGACCGTCCAGTCAGATAACTTGTCATTTTATTTTTTTATTATTCCAATTTTATCTTTATTTACCCCCATTTTTAGGTCTGAGTTAGTTTCAGAGCCCCCCCCCCCCATTTTTGACTTCTCAGTGGCACATACCTACCATAATGTG